AACACACATATTACTGAGTCTTTTGTGGGATTATGTAGTATATGTACACACAGCAGTGCGTGTGAAAAGTGTCTAGTGCGCATGGAGAGTGTGTTACTACAGGTGCTTGTACAGGCCCACTCACCTGTGTGTAGCACGAAAAAAGAAAAAAAAAACAGAATCTATATTCTATTAAAAATAAAAATAATAATAATTAAAAATAATAAAGCCATTTTAGACATGGAGTTTGTTTTTGTGTGTTTCTAATAAAAGCTACTGGTACTATATTTATTTATTTATTTAGTAATTTAGCAGACGCTTTTATCCAAAGCGACTTACAAATGAGGACAATAAAAGCAGTCAAAACTAACAAAAGAGCAACAATATATAAGTGCAACTTGAATTAACAAACAAACAAATAAATAAATTGACAAAGAACTTTGATGAAGACCCCATTATCATGATTTTACAGCAGTTACTCTAAATTGGTGTAAATTACGTTCACCATGGCTTATTATAAACCAAGTAATTTTCGAGGCGTTTATGCTATTTGGAAAAACACACACGTATAGAGTTGTATATTTAAGCAGTAGCAAAGTAGCTCGATGTAAAACAGAGATTAATCCACCAGCTGCTGCGACACACAAGCAGAAGTAAAGCACATCAGGGAGGATTTAGTAGAGCACATCTGGGGTCATCCTGATAAAATGTTGTGTATATTAAATGTTTTTGTGGATATATAAAGTTTGGGATGCTTTTATTCAGCAAGGATGCAAAAAAAACGGATCAAAAGTGAGAGTAAAGACGCATAATGTTAAATAAGATTTCTATTTCAAATAAATGCTGCTCTTTTGGACTTTCTATTCATCTGTGAATCCTGAAAAATAAAATGTATCACAGTTTCCACAGAAATATTGTGCAGCACAACTGTTTTCAACATTGATAATAATCAGAAATGTTTCTTGAGCAGCAAAACAGTACATTAGGATGATTTCTGAAGATCACATGACACTGAAGACTGGAGTAATGATGCTGAAAATACAGCTGCGCATCACAGAAATAAATTACATTTTACAGTTTTTTTCAAATGCTTACACGCACAATCTTTACTTGTCACACAATTTCTGAAAACTGACACTCAAACAGCAGAAGCACACACCAAATCTGCAAAACCATACACTAATTCTCAGCCTTTGACTCAGTTTCATAAAACACTTTTTGCAAAACACAACACACAATTCTCTATGTAGCACACAGAAATCTAACAGGAATTCATATTATGGCAAAGGTGTTTGCAAATGTTTGCTTTTGAGATGTGTTTGTGATGTTTTGAATTCAGTGCTTCATTTTGCAAGAGATGCGAGGCATTTTGCATTTTGTGTGTGCAATTCTTGGATTTGTGTGTAAAGTTTGGAAAAAAAGAGGCAGCGTTTTTGAAAACGTGTGCAAGCAGTTGACAAAAACTGTAACAGATATTCACATAGAAAACTGTAATAATAAAATTGCAATAATATTTCACAGTTTGACTGCATTTTTGGGTAAAAAATATATGAAATATGAAATATTTTTTACTCGTTTCTTGTTTCTATGCACAGGGCATCATCTGCATCCAGAGAGATGGAGAGAAGGGGAAATGAGAGATTTGATGAGGATACTTTGGTTCCTCTCAATCTCTCCAGGAGAGACAGTCCTCTGAACCTGTCTATGACGACTCGATCAGACACCCAATCACTGAGCAGCCTGATGAATGAGGGGATTGTGGGTTCAGTGACGATCATTTACCTGTCAGCTGGCTCAGTCCAGCGTTTCACACCTGAGCAGAAACATCACTTACTCTGATTCAAGCGTCTGTCGACCTCAGTCCGAAGTCCAGCATCTGATGCGAGAGAAACAGCTTCACTGACTCTAAAACAGCTCCAGATGTGAAATCAGGTGTAGGTGTAGACGACTCCGCCCCTTCCGCTGACGCTTCAGAAGTCTCCGCCCCCTCATCAAATATTCCGCATCACAACCTGAAGAGAAAACAGACGAGCAGCCGGAGCAAACACAACCTGAGGAAGAGAATGTGTCATTAATGTCAGAAAATCAACACAAAAATCTAAAATAATTCCAGTAAATGAGAGACTATATTTTATAACCAACGAGGTTTAAATGTTTCAGGGAAACTCAGCTCTTATAAACTATCATGTGAAGCACGGAATCATATTTATTTATACTTTTTTACTGTTAAAATTAAGAGGTTGAGGTTTTCATACGTGAAATAAAAAATGTTCGAACTGGTCGGAAATGACTCTTTTTGCATTCATAAACGCTTCAAACCTGCTCGAAGACCATTTAAACTTAGCTTTGGCAATATCTGCACACGAATGCAAATCTGTTTATGCCAGCGTCGCACATTGAGAGAAGCAGGTGCATCTGAAACCTGATAAACCGCTAAAAAAAACTGCAGGTTCAGACATGCGACTTCAGCGAGACCGTTAAACCTGTCTCTGTCTCTCTCTCACACACACACACACACACTGTCAGACACATAGCGCTCTATCAGACCAGAATCACTCACTGAAGGCTTTTACAATTACACTAGGGCTACTTATTAAGTTAAGCCGTGTTTCGCCCTCTAGTGGCAGTAGAAAGGAACTTTCAAATCGGTCATTAAAGGGATAGTTCACCCAAAAATGAAAATTTGATGTTTATCTGCTTACCACCAGGGCATCCAAGATGTAGGTGACTTTGTTTCTTCAGATTTGTCGCAGATTGCATGAAAGACAACTTTAAATATCTAAATATCAAACTCCTTTATTTAATTGTACATCACTGAATGTTGATCTATATTCATAATCCATAATCCCACAATCATAATCCCTCTGCTGGACACATGATGCACATATGAGATCTGAGGGGAAAAAACAGGGTTAAAAGTGAATAACATGCATTTATTAGTGTCTTTAATATACACCATTTAACTCATAGTAGATTAAACGATTAACCTGGTTCTCCATTACTAGGACAAATTGGATGGCATACTCAATAGCAGTGATTAACAGCAAAGCTGGTACTTGTTCTTCAATCACTTTTCTGAGTGGAGAACACAACAGCATCAGATAATTCAGCATTGACTTATATTGAGTCCGTAGCGATTATAAAACACGTCCCTTTCAGACAGACGGCGTCAGTGAGTTTTAATTGGCTATGCGGGTTCCTGTGGGTGGCGCTCCTGAGGTGCGAACAGGAAGTGAGGCGCCAGCCCCAGTGCATTGTGGGACTGTCGGTGAGACAGGCACGTGAAGGAGCTCGGTTACAATCAGTGAGGGAACTCATCGCGCGAGATCCATCGATTGAAGGCAACAGAAAGGAAACGAGGAGGGAGATGTTTGAGGAACGAGGGGAGGACGGTGAGTTTGTTCCTGGTGGAGATTCATTAGTTCTGTTGTGTTCCTGAATTGTACCCCCGTTTAGACAGCGTAGGGTGTTTTTGACTGAAATGTTGCCATTAAACCCCTCCGTAAGTTCATTAGCAGCATGCTGATCTTGTGCAGCAGAAGAGCAAAGCGTCGAGCCAACGTCATAAAGTCAACATGAAACGACGTTAATAATGTGCCATAATTCTGGATATTCAGTTTGTATTTTATCCATTGGGAGTTGAGTAGATGGTAGAAAGTGGATGTTGCATACCAGAATGGCTATTATTGCTGTCATTTGCATTATATTAACCAGCATTAAGTTACTATGTTAACTATTTGCAAAAAACTACCTACATTAGTAGTCTTAAAAATGGCCAGGTAACTATTTGGCTATCGGTTAAGATTTTTTTTTTTCCAGCAGGGGCCCGTAAGAGAGTTTTGGAAAAGTTTGGAAAAGTTTACAGAAAAACAGTGTAAATACTGTTACAAATATAAGATTGATAAAATAAATTTGATTAAAATAAATTTTTTAATGATTTTGAGATTTTAAATGAACTAAAATACTTAAATGAATAGATACATAAATAAACCAAGAGTATCTAACTAAAGTACTATAGCAAGTAGAAAAAACAACAACAACAAAACAGTGAAAGATAACTAATTATTTTCCAAATAATATTTTATACATATTTAATTTTTACAGTATAAATTGGGTCTTTAAACATGAAAATATATATCTGTATTTTAAATTTTATAATAGGGTTCTCTTACACGAGGATGATTATATTTTTGGGGTCCGTGGCATCTAAAAGATTGACAACCCCAATGGGAAAATAATTTTTGGGTCAGAGCATGTTATCGTATTTTGATTATGACCAAAAGTTTTTGAAATAACATGCACTGATGACATAATAGGTGCACAATAATACCAGGATTGTGTGTTAGGAAAGTAAACAGAGTCAGTTTTGATTTCATGTTGACTTTAAGCTCGATATAAATGTGATAATCCAGGCTGAGCTATTATCACGCAGAATACAGACGAACGCACGTACGTTAATAAAATCAGCCAGCATTAAATGTGTATCGTCGTATTGGAAAATACTTTCACTAAAAACAGACCTGAAATTGTTCTTTAGGCTTCAGATCAGCTCTTCGATCCATTCATACTGAAACTGAATCACTATAATCTAGTTTCAGTCTCCATTTCTCATTCTTTTGGCTTTAAGTCAGCCTTTCAGTCAGTTCACACTGAAACCGAATTGCTGTAATCCAGTTTCAGTATCCATTTCCCATTCGTTTGACTTTAAATAAGCTCTTCAGTCTGTTCACACTGAAACCAAACTGCTGTTATCCAGTTTCAGTATCCTTTTCTCATTCTTTAGGCTTTAAATCAGCTCGTCGTCCTGTTTACACTAACCAAATCACTATAATCTAGTTTCAGTCTCCATTTCCCATTCTTTTGACTTTAAATCAGCTCTTCAGTCTGTTCACACTGAAACCAAATTGCTGTAATCCAGTTTCAGTATCCATTTCCCATTCTTTTGACTTTAAATCAGTTCTTCAGTCTGTTCACACTGAAACCGAATCATTATAATCCAGTTTCAGTCACCGTTTCCCATTCTTTTGGCTTTAAGTCAGCCTTTCAGTCAGTTCACACTGAAACCGAATTGCTGCAATCCAGTTTCAGTATGGTTTCAGAGGAAACTGCGGTTCCTCAGAGGAAGGGGTTGTGGCTTTGGCCGGGGTGCTGTGTTTGTCGAGTGGAGGTTGTGAGGGGCAGCAGTGGCTGCGGCAGGTTGCTGGGCAGGTCCAGCAGGCCGTGGGGCGGCTGTGTGAAGGACGAGGGCAGAGTCTGGGGCTTCTGCTGCAGGACGGGCAGAGGGAGGGAGGCGCTGTAGGACAGAGCGTGAGCCGGCAGCGGCGACGTGGAGTGAGGACGCATCTGATTCAGAGTCAGTCTGGGCTGCTCACAGTGGAAGGGGTTTGTGGGAGATGGTGTGCTCAGACCTGCACGGGTCACAAAATATCATTAGACTCTTCTGCCCACCAAGGCTGCATTTATTTGATTAAAAATATTGTAAGAACAGTAACATTGTGAAATATTATTACAATCGTTTTCTATGTGAATATCTGTTAAAGTGTAATTTATTTCTGTGATCAAAGCTGAATTTTCAGCATCATTACTCCAGTCTTCAGTGTCACATGATCTTCAGAAATCATTCTAATATGCTGATTTGCTGCTCAAGAAACATTTCTTATTATTAGCAATGTTGAAAACAGTTGTGCTGCCCAATATTTTTGTGGAAACTCGTACATTTTATTTTTCAGGATTCACAGATGAATAGAAAGTTCAAAAAACAGCATTTATGAGAAATATAAATATTTTGTAACATTACAAATGTCTTTACTGACACTTTTGATCAATTTAATACATCCTTGATGAATAAACATATTTCTCTCTGAGAAAAAAAAAAGAGGAAAAAAAACTTACTTATCCCAGACTTCATATACCTGAGAACCAGAACTGCATGATATATTAAAACTTTTTTATATAATATATTTATCTTAAATTGAGTTTATTTCTTCTTTCCCAATGGCAAATCGTTTTCACTGGTTTTAAGCATAAATCTCATTAAATTGTGTTAGATTCATGCCTAAAATAAAGAAATAACTATTGTGCATTCACCTCACTTTTATATATTTTAAAACAAAATGTTTTTCTTTAAAATATATTGACAAAATATAGATTTTCTCATTAAAGCAACTTTGTAAAACAACTTTTTATCACTATTTACTCAATGCTGAAAAGGTGAACGTTAAGAGAACAAATCAAATATATGATTTATGATATCTGAAAAAAAAGCTTTTTTTTTATAAAATGCAAGTCATGATGACCTGCAAAACATGCTAATTGTTCTTTTACGGTCTAAATTAAATTGTAAGGAGTGATTTTGCACTGGAAATGTAAGTGCTTAAGAGTACTCAGTTTGAAATAAAAGTATTTGGCTTCAAAAGCATTTAAGAAAAATATAAATTCCCCAAAATAATAAGCGTGTCTGAGTGTGTGTTTTCCTACCTGACAGGAAGGGGTTTTTGCTCTTGACCGGTGGGTTGGTGGGAATGAGCGTGTCCAGGTTGACGAGGGAGGCAGCAGTGGGGCCGAGGAACGCCTCAGGGGTCCGGCACTGTCTAGGGCTCACTGCGTCCTGAGGAGGCCCAAGACGAGAGAGGTCAAAGGTCTCTGGACTGTCATTCCCCCGTCCGTTCACTTGAACACCCACCACCAACTCGCCGAACTGATCGGCATCTGAAATGAGAGATGTGAATGAGCTTCAGCTTGACTCAGAGAGGAAAACGATTGTGAAGAGGGTCTGGTTTGGTGTGATGAGGACCTGCAGGACTCTCACAGCGAGGACTGAACACTCGGTTTGGCTCCGCCTGCTCCACTATAGGCTCCTCCCCCTCCACTCTAAGCTCCTCCTCCTCTGGAATAGTAAATGGGTCCTTCACACTCGACACTGGAATGAAGTGCAAAGAATCTAGAGATGGATCTCTAGCACTACAAATATTTACTTATTTAAAGTGAAAAATTGTGCCTATCTTCTTGCAATTTCAAGTTTCAAATAAATAATAACTGCAAGATATAAACCCGCAATTCTGAGAAAAAAAGTTTTTGCGAGTTTGAGATAAAAAGTCACAATTACAAATCAAAATGTATCTCACTTTGGTTTTTAACATGAGGTGTTGTACCTGGTCGCGCTGGGCTCCTCCAGGCTTTTTCATCTATGTTAGAGGTGGAGTTTGAAGGCGGGGCATCCCAGGGGTCAGGAGGTGATTGGTGGGTTCCCCATGGGTGGGCGGGGCTACTGGAGGAAGAGCGGGCCGTCCAGGGACTATCAGCCACCGGGTTACTAGACTTAACTACAGCTGAATCAAACAACCAAATCAAAATACATCCGCACAAAGAATCCTTGAAATATTTTTGTCTTACTGTTGAGTTAAAATATCGAAAACCCCCCAAAACAAAATGTATACCATGAAATGTGGTTCAAATAATCAGTCAGTTGTTATTTCAATGTTTATAGAAATATTTAAACAATGCAGAAACAACGTTTAATGCTAAATAGTTTTAACCAGTTAACAAAACACTAATAAATCAATGTTTTTACATTTAAATAAAAAAACCTAAAGAAGCGCTCACACTGTGACCGCAAGATAATTTAAAGATATTTTTACTTGACCAATGTTCGAAATGCGGTTGAAATAATGTCAGTTGTTGTTTCATTGTTGATAAAAATTTGTTGAAACAACATTTAATGGCAAATAGTTTTAGAAGGTTTACAAAATATTGATGAATCAACTTTTTAACAACATTTTAACAAGATCTGTATGAAAAATAAGACAAACCATGTTGTGATATCAACACAACCAGATCAAAAAACATCCTCAGTGCACTGCGAAAAAGTATTTTTGTCTTACTTCTCAAATACAAAGTCTAAAAATCCTTAAAACAAAATTAATTTTTGGGATACGTTTATTTTGACCTTTTTACTTTTTAAGAACAAATCAACATCTATAACATTGATTAACCCATGAATGAATGATGAAATTGTGACTGGGAAGTCAAAAAAGACTAAATAAACTCATTAAAAAGTTTTTTTCTCCAGTTTTACAGTTTACATAACTTTTAGATATTTTACTTGACCAACCGTCTACGTTGAAATGTGGTGGAAATAATTTCAGTTAATGTCAGTTTCACTGTAGATAAAAAGATTCAAACAATGTTTATTGCTAAATAGATTTAAAGGGTTAACAAAACACTGATACATGAAAGTTGTACATTTTAAAGTAAATTTTACTTGACTGACCTTCTACGTTGAAACGTGTTTGAAATAATGTCAGATGTTGCTTGAACATTGATCAAAACGCTGAAACAATGTTAAATATTAATGTTAAAATGTTTAACATTAAAAGGTTATCAAAATACTAATAAATCATAATTTTTAGAAGTGTTCGCACTGTGACCGCAAGATATATTGCAGTGATGTTGAGGAATCGCAAACTCTTATTAAAACTGATGGACTGTGAATCACAGTACTGAGAGCGCTCATCACTGACCGACAGACTTCCAGGGGTCAGAGTTCACGGAGCAGGTGGGCGGGGCGTCCCAGGGGTCATCGCTGACCTGCGCGGCAGGCGTGGGACCGAATATATCCACCAGATCGATCATGGCCGACTGCGAGAGGAAATCAACGGTGAGCCGCTCTGAAGCTCAGCAGATCATGCAGGTGTTGAGTGTCTCTCTCACCTCTGAAGGCCGCGGGTCTCGCTCGCCCTTACTCTCCTCCAGAGCCTCCTGCAGAGGAGCGTCGTCCCCCTGACGGCTGCACTGCTCCTTCAGGAGACAAAACAAACTCAGGACCAGAAGCTGAAGCCGATGCTGTTCGTTAGTGCAAGGATTAATTAGGATAAAAAGAGCAGGAGGTTAATAAGCTCCGTGACATTCACAGGACATCCACAGACAACACTGCAGGAGAAATACCGCTAGAGATTAGAGAAGAAATAGTTAGTACAAGCTAGACAAAGAAGTTAAAACATGCAAAACACAGAAAAAAAGATAGAAATTGTAAAAGTTAAAAATCAGTCTTAATAGTTTAATCCAGTGCTTCTCAAGCTTTTTGACTGAAGGGCCCACGATGGCCAACATATTGGCTTGTTTTTATTTACATATTGGCTAACTTTTTTATTAACAGGAACACTGGGAGTATTGATATATTATGTAATATTGTATTAAAATAATCAACTATGATTCATTTTGTGACTTGAGAAGTTTCAAGAACTGCATGTTCTTCAATTAAAAGAAACCATTATTGTGGGGGGGGAAGTATTTTTTTGTATAATTTATTATTTTGATTATATTATAATGATACTGTCAGTCTTTTGGACCCGTTTTGCCCCCATAGTTCTTCCTGTGTTTCCTTATATGGTCTTTTTCCTGTTCTTGTTTAGTTTGATTGCTTTATGATTCCTTGCACCTGTGTTGAGTTCCTTATTATCCTGTGTATATAAGTTCCTGTTTGCTCTGTGTTCCTTTGTCGGATCTACTCTTTAGTTACGTGTTTCTGCTTTTCCTATGTTGGATTATTCCCCTGCGTTTTCATCATTAAAGACAGTTAAAGTTTATTCATGCCTCCCACGTGCTTCCAGCAAGACACACCGTGACAGAAGATCCGACCAAACAAGATGACTGCAGCTGAAGACAGGCTTTGGTGTCTGCGGCAGGGTGGTCGGGAGTTGGAGAGGTATGTAGAGAAGTTCCTAGAGCTCTCCAACCAGGTGATCTGGTTCGACGCCGCTCTGTGTCTGTTTTCGGCTGGGGCTGGATGATGACGTAATCGGCTGCGATCTTTCCACATACAGTTTTCCCCTGATCGATTTGGTTAATCATGTCCTTTATTTAAATGGAGTAAGTCTCGAAGTAGAAAAGTTTCAGAGCGATCATCATCCAGTCCCTCCCGAAAATCACCGGGCCTCGCCAGCTCACCCCTCGCCAGGACCCTCCACATACCCGTCCAAATGTTCCGACCACCCATCTCCTCCCAGCACCGTCTCTGTCCTCAGCCTAGAAACGCCGGCCAC